CGAAGTAGAACATCCGCATCGATCGGGATTTGTTTGGATCTTCTGATCTGGAAGTTGAATCTGTATCTACGAGTGAGATGGGCGTCGATGCGGTATGTGCTTTCCGGTGGTAATATTGCTCCGCAATGATGAGACCTCCAATGAACGAAATGACATCCCATCGATCATTCCAAGAAGCATGTGCGATGATCAATACTTCTACGCTAATTCTCACCATGGTCTTCGTTCTCGACAGTCCAAGCAAGCACAGGAAAATAACCATCGAACAACGGAACTCTACTGGGATCGTCCATAGATGCGGGTTGTAGAATCCTTTGAATTGCTTCCACGTATACACATCCACTAGATCCTTCACATACCCAATATAACTCTGGATCTCCGTGCTCCAAGTCGTGTCTGCGTGATGTAGAGGATGGTCGGTAAGGAGTCCCATTCGTTGGAGAAGAAAGGCGACGAAGGAGACCGCAACACTCGGCAGCCAAAGCCGTACAGAGCGTCGAAATGTTGTCGAAGCAAGAGTTCTGTATAGAGAAGGCGATTGGCTCCTTATAAGCTGTATTCCCTTCGACGAGAGCGCGAACCCAGAAATAACAAAGAATACTGCTACCATTGACCCTCCAGAATATACCAGCCGCAGAAATGGCAGCTGAAAAATATGCCAATTCTCGTCTGCGGAAGCGAAGCCATACTGATATGCTGGGTAGGGACGCTGTATGAGGTGCTGCACCACAACGATAAATGCAGCTACACCTCTGAGGCCGTCCAGATAGTCGGTGTCTCGCTTCTTCGTTATCTGTGCCTTCTCGCCGTCGACTGATGTGCCATTGTTTTGTGTGAGGAAGCTGGGGAGGAGGAAGACTCCTAATTTGCGAAGTCGAGGAAGCGTGAAGTATTCGCTGTAAATTGGAGGCTCGAGGGAGCTGGTGGATATTTTGTCCCAATAGGGAAGACGCATTCGTATGACTGGTGGCATATCGGGGACAAATACAAAATACTACACAAGAATGAGACGACCAAGCAGATTCAGAAATCGCTCCCTCATAATTCCAAAGACGAGGGGTAAAGAATCAGTATGAAGTGCGAGATGCTGCCCCTAACTATACTGTGCCTTTCTGCGGCTGAACCCCCTGAATACGCCATGCAGCTAAGCGAGGATGACTGCCGTCAAAAAACAAAGCATGTCGCCAATCATATACAGAGGTAAAATTGGTGGCTACACCAGGAGAACTATGTGTCGGAAATATGCAGCCTTTCGGGAGATAATCCTGATGCGGATGGGATTTGAAATCTTATCAATACTGGAAAGGTTGAGTGTATCCAGGAGTGCTTCGCAATAAACCAAGCAAGAACATAACACCACGACGCCAGCACAAAGATCAGCAGCAGATGTAGGATTGCAACAGCCAGGTATCGTTCGAAATCCGCAGTGACGGGCGCGATTCTTTTTTAAGAAACTAGTAGCTGGCCGATGCCGAGCGTGAGGTACGCCAATCGAAACAAGTTAGATGTTCCCTAAGTAGTACGTTGACCTATCGACCCCCTACGAGGGGCTTAGAGAAGTCATAACTGGTACTATTCTTGCTTCTCGCTTATCAAGTGAGACAACGCGCTCTTTAAGGAACTCGAAATCGCCCAGAATCAATTCCACTTAGACTTCCCGTTGCTGTCGCGAGTCTCGTGAACCTTGTCGCCATCATTGGATGATCTTAGTGGTAAGATTTGGTAAATCACTGGCAGCCCTCCTCAAAGTCGTGTCCAGCTTCCAAGACTTTCGAAGCATAGATCATGAGGCGATAAAATTGCCCAGAGATAGTATCAGTCCAAACCACGGCCGAAAGATGCGGCATCAAGGCCCCGCAGACATCTCCTCCAGGTTAATTCACACAAGTTCAATGGTATAGCGGCGATACCCATCTGTGTAACGATCAATACGCACGCAATCGGATTCCATTCCCGCGGACTCGGGATTTGACAATCCCTCCTGCAAAACCGACTCTTCATAGCCTAAGCAAAAGAACGATCCCAGTCTCCTATACCGGCCTTTCTTATCAGCCGTAGCTTTCAGCACAAGACCCGAAACCTGCACCGAAGATCTAATTGCGACGGGGAGAATGAAAAGGTTGCCATCGCCTACTTCGGCACCTCTGCCTACATCGAGCTTAGCATTAAGCATGATGAAATCTCCTAACATCCCAGAGATTGCAATATTTTCATGCGGTCTCGAGAATGGCAGGTTGGCCTTTGCTCGGATGAGGTATTTGCATATGAGGCGGAGGGTAGCGGCGGTGATTTGGCCGAAGGGGTCGTCGGAGGCGTGCTTAATCTCAAGAGCGTCAACCTTGACTTGCTCTTTCTCATCGTAGTATCTAGGAAAGGAGAACTCGATACTCCCGGTAATAGAAGCCCATGACCACGTCGGCGCAACGTACGGCGTGATTCTCCGTCCTGTCCCAGCCTCAACGTCCCAGCGGAGCTGAGAGATGAGGTGCTTTCTCCACATCCCAGCGACATACTCGTCTTTCTGAATTCTTTGGACGATTCGAGCCAATCCCGATATCGCTGCGAGTTTATCCCTCGACAGAGTCAAATTGCAGCTAGAGTATGCGTTCACCAACTTAGCCCACCCACGACCCGAGTTGATTTGTGCGATACCCAGGTGGCTAAGCCCGTCCTTAAGCTGAGTCGGGATGCCTCCTGGGAAAGTTTCGCAGGCGAACCTCTTCTCGCACTCCCAAAACACTTCTCTCTGGGTGAAATGTAAGGTGCGGGGTGATAGGAGGCGCTCCTGGAGTACCCAGGCTTGTTTGAACAGTGGTTGAGCTAGGAGATACTCTTCGAAATCATCAGGGACGCATCGGTAGTACATCGTCTGCCGACCACGATTGTTTCTGAGAAAATGCCCCCAGAGCATGTGTCGGTCGAAGAAACAGCCAAAGCTTCCGTCGGGGGCGCTTGAGGCTGCCAAATTTATTGTTGAGCCACCGTAGACATCGCACATGAGTGGCGATTCGCGGTTCCAATCTTCGATGTCGTCTTGTATGATACACAATGAGTCAATCCAAAGATACTCGATACCTAGATAGGAAGTGATACGTATTGCATCTTGAAAAGTCTTGGTAATAGATTGAACTGGTATACGTTGCTGGAAGTGTGTGATGTTGTTCTTCTTCAGTGGAAGGAACGATAGAGAACCCCAACAATGACTCAACGTAGCGTATCTTGGGCAGGTACCAAGTTCACTTGAAAGACAGAGTCTTACGTTCCCGTCCTCAAGAAGCAAGAGCCGTGTCGGTGTTCGATGACTTTGAGAGCTCCTGCATCCTTCATGATTCGTGAGACACGTCTTCAACCAAATCCGGCATCAAGGCAAGCTAGACTCTGTACTGGCAATTGGCAATGGAGCGAGGTCATGCGCTATATCCCATCAGCCACTGCGTAATTCGCAAGGGAGAGACAACCCACGAAGTAGAAAGGTAGGGAACATCCGAATACTGGTGACGAGCTTGTTGAAGCGAATAATATTCAGGATGATACGACTGCCATCGAAGTCGTTATTTAGCGACTTTGCTGCCTTTGCACCCCGCGTGGTCTCTAGAATAGCACTACCCTGGTGTCCCTTGCTGTCATCACGCCCATACAAATAATCATACTCATCTTCATCCTCGTCCGTGCCATCTGGCCTGACTTGGCAGTTCTCACTTCGGATGAGATGGATACACAAGACACATCCGCTATTAGCAGACTCTGCTAACGCGGACGTCGTATCGTGATGTCGAAACCACAATTTCTTCAGGAATCCACCTCCTTCGGGGCAGCGATTCATGATCTCCTGGCAATATAAACATAGATTGGGATCCACAATCTCTGCATCTGCACCTGAATTAGAAAGAAGGTTTAGAGTCAAGTGGGGCTTCACTACAGTAGGCTCATCAGACTCACCAGATTTGTGTTGAGCAACACTTTTACCATCATCTTCGAGCGGGACACTTTCAGACATCGCGATTCAGATGCAGCTACTGTGGGAAACGAGGGTTGTAGAGATAGCGCACACTTGCAGCTAGCTTTTGAAGCAGGACGAAGGGGATCGTTGGCTTGACATTCGATGTCTACCTTACCAGATGCAGGTGTATGGCAAGCAGTGGAAGGGAAGGCAAGGCTGACAGAAGCGGGGCGCTTCGAGAGTCCTGTCATCCTCCATGCTTGAAGAGGTCGTTAGTGAGTGAAGAAAGAAACTCCATCAGAATGGAAAAGGGCGAGCTGAGAGAACGTAGGAAATAGATACATCTAGTGCTATTTGCTAGCTTCATTTGTCGGAGCCTCCGTGTGTGTTAGATAGAGCATACATATATGTACATTTATCGATCCGTATCAAAATAAGGCCAAGCAAGCGCCACTTTCGAAGGGAGAGGAAATGAAAATATACGGAGGACAGGCCCAAAGTTTTGTCTCACCGCTTTCATTCTGCCCACGTATTTTAGAGTGGCAGAACCAGGCGGTGAGACAAAACTTTAGGCCTGCACCTTCCGTAGAGGAGCGGTAGAAATGGGTTAGGTGAGGGTTAAAAAAAGGGTAGGCGGGGTTCGTCAGTAAAAGTGGTTGTTGGTAGGTACCCTTTCGTACAAGAAGCATAGGTGGTATAAAACCGTGTAAGTACAGCTTCAAAACAAGTCAGTCAGGTTTTCTTTCAAATGTGCAGAAAGCTTCAAATGACTTTTAGGTCTGACGAGATCTCTGTCTGAAGTCGACGACTTGTGGAATATTAATACCACACACAATACGCAGGTGCAGGCCTAAAGTTTTGTCTCACCGCCTGGTTCTGCCACTCTAAAATACGTGGGCAGAATGAAAGCGGTGAGACAAAACTTTGGGCTTGCACTTGTGTACGGAGAAAAAAAAATTCCACCTTCAAAAATCCTCCCCTCCGCCCACACCCAAAACTCCCTTTCAAAAAGGCAAAAGAATATCAGAAGCTCTCTCTTTCGAGAGAACCTCGGGATTTGAGCCCGAGGTGGGGCTCGAACCCACGACCTTGAGGTTTTTAATTGAATTTCCGAGAGTGATTTCATAAGAGCCACACGCTCTACCGATTGAGCTACCCGGGCACTTTGATCTTGGATTGATGGTGGGAGGTGCTTATTTGGCTAAATATAGAGACCAAAAATTTTAGGGTAGGGAGAGAGATTTGTGGGCAAGGGGGCGGGGGACTTCGGATGTTATTGTGGGAGGGGAGGGTTGGGTGGGTAAGGAGGGGTTCGGACTCTAGGACATCTTGTTGTACACTCCCTTACAGTGTAGTTTCGGAATACTTGGCTTTAGTTTGAATAAGGTTACAATCGAACCTTTTTCTTGAGGTCTATGCTCATTGAGAATTAGTATGTAAGAACCCCAGAGGAATGCTGTAGACCCTGAGAATATCTTTTAAAAGAACGTTGCGCACAGTCTCTGGGGACCTTGCAATAGCATGATATTCCCACTCTTGGCACGAACAGACTGTACGACGCCTAGCTGGATGCATCTCCCTGATCTAACTATCGATACCTTCACTGAATTGGTAGGTTATCATTAACACAATAAATCTGGAGAAAACATGTCGTGATTCAATTTGAGACTCTTCATCTCAGGTCATAAATTTAGTTACCATTTGTAGAACGACATGATGATATGTACAACCAAATCCAGTACGCCCTGCAATGCTATGCAAAAAATCATCGAGAATGCTAATGCTCGCTCGTCATAAAAATTCAACAAAGTCAGACGTCAGGCAGACGTCTATCAAATTTCCAACCCGAGATCCCCAGTACCTGCCTGTATCTTGTAATCCACCCAACGCCAAAGAACAATGCACCGAAGTCGACGCCCACGCTTCCCCCAGGTCCTATAAAAGTAGCCTATCTAAAATACCCGGTGTAATTTTCCCCAAGGACGAAAGGTAAAAGGTTGTCTGTACATCTATCATCTCATCTTGTCCCGTCTATCACATGGCAGCGTAAAACATGCCCGCACCGATGGCGGCCATGGCTCCAATATTCATAGGCGCTGCTGTCCGTTGCGCTCCGCCTTTCGACGTCGCTGATCCTCCTAGACCTATAGAAGGTGTTCCACCAGCCATAACTCCATTATCCACACCGACAGTCGCCTCGACTGGATCATTTACATCTGTGGCGCCTGGAACGCTGGTTGAGCCCTTTGCTATCTCGACGACGTTTGAAGTGGTCGAGTTGAAATTCGTTTGGGCGATTGAGATCTCGTTGTTCGCGAGGTCGTAGACGAGGTAGGCAGATCGAATGAATGTGTCGCCCATGACTGAGGTGCTGGATCCTGCTGGGGCGATACCGAAGAGGCATGCTGGTGTTCCGTCCGAGAAAGTTAATTGTCGCCCACTGGCTGAAGTGACGACGATAACGAGCTCATTCATGGGAACAGAGATCATTGGACCGGAAAAGGTGAAGTTGAGGGTCGTGGCATTGTCGGCCAGAGAGCAAGGAACGTATGCTGCGCCTTGGGAGGAATCGTATTGAGCGTCCACTTGTTCATAGATGGCCTCGGTCATGGAGTCTGGGAGGTAGGTGAGGGAGCTACCGGAGTCCAGGAGGACGGCCTGTGCTTGGTTCCTCGCAATAACCGTCCTACCGAAGCTCACAGCCGTGAGCGTGATGAGAAATTCGGCAAAAAATCCTCTCTGTGCCTGGACTGGTAGGGTTTCCAGTGTGCCCAAGTATTTGCCCGTATCGACTCCACCAAACAAAATATGTCCAGTGCTTGCATCGAGGTCATTCAACCACAAGCTGTACGCATTCGATTGGATCAGTCCATCCTCCACCATTTGCGAGGGCAGATTCCGGTATGGTGACTTTCCTGCCCGTCCAACCTGAACTTCATTGACCTCGTAACCGATTCCCAGAATTCCTTCACTCGACGAACTTATGTAGCCAACCCCAAATTGCAGCTTCGATACTGCTGTCGAACCGATCGAGAAAGTGTCCGTCACATAATCCCCAGCTGCTCCCGATCCATCCACGTATGAAATATTGAAGTCGCTCGCGACATAGGAGTACGTTGACGACGAGTTGGCGGAATATGTCCCTGCGAATGCACATGGGCTTCCTTTCGTTTTACACAGCGTTGACGATCCCGTGTTCACCCATAAGTCGCTACTGCCTGTGTCGAGATGTAACCGAAAACTTTGTGGTGGTGTTCCCAGAGTTGCATTCGCAAAGTATAAGGTTTCCTTCAAAAGTCAGCCCGAGTCTCCACATTGATAATAATTCAACACACCTCATTGTCTACAGTTGCTTGAACAGTGTTCGCTCTCCTTCGTATCCTGTCCCTCACTACTGGATTCCTTATCGTATTTCTCTCGATTTCCAACCCTACAACTCTTGCTGGTCCATCGGTTCTCCTCTGTAATTGAAGTCCTTCGGTACATGTTGACAATAAAGTCGCCGAGATGGCCAACGTCGAAAAGCACTTCATGATTATCTGTAAGAAACAGCTGCTAACGTAGAGGTAACCCTTCCTCCTGGAAATGGGCACTTCTTGACTATATTCGGTCCCAAGATCCAGATGACGCGGTCCTGGGTACACTAGGAGATCTAGTCTCGGCTGTAAAAGCCGAAATTTGAAATAATTCTGGAAGCCACACGGCAGCTACTCTGAGTAGAATGACTAGTAAAAGACTGAGTTGGTTGTGGCGGTGGATATTGTTCAAGGCGTAGCGAATGACTGACTGACTAACTAACTGACAGACGTAAAGACTGACGACACAGATTGACAGGTTCGGCGAGTTTGTGTATCCGGAACAACCGATTAACCCGAAAATAAAGCTACTGTTGAAGATTCCATGAAAGAGAGATTAAATTCCTAGATCTGACGTTGCCTGGGCGGATGGTTCCTGATCGACCTTGCTGTAGGGCTGGATTGGGATGGAGGGGTGGTGGTGAGGGTGAGATGCAGATGTATGTATGGTAGGAGGAAACAGCAGCACAGAAAGCAGGCAGATGAAATGTAGCGAGATGGCCTCAGACAATACCAAAAGGCTTGGATAATTAGAAATGCCAAGTAAAGTCCAAGATCTGGGTATCGAAAGGTGAGAGGCTGATGAAATAATTCCAAGCGTTTTTCTTGGGAGCACTGCGACACACAGCACCTTGGTGCAGTGGTGGCACTAGGAGGAGGGCTTTGTATTCGCTTGGCGACGACCGGGGGCTTGGGGGGGCCCGCAAGTGAAGTGACGCGGCCGAGGGCGAATGAATGTTGGAGGGAGAGGAGCAAGAGAGAGGAGAGGAGCAAGAGAGAGGAGAGAGAGGGGGGAGAGGAGAGAGAGGAAGGGGGAGGGAGCGCGATGACAGCCACTTCTCGCGGTGAGCAAGCACAGTGTACGCGGTATGGGAGGGGCAGAGGGAACAAAAGGAATGAATGAAAGAGACAATAGGCATAGCCACGCATGGCCCACCCCCCTCAACTGCTTACTGCGGGCACTGTTGCGCTGCGCTGAGATGACCGACGTTGAGGGGAGGCTACCCATCCTATTCCCAGAGCAGAGCAGCTCGCTGAAGCTTGCGAACGATCATGCTCGATGGAGGATGATCAGACACAGGAAACGCGGAGCAGCACGGCAGCTGCGTCAACTGGGCTGAGAAGCCTCCCAAGCGAGCATCCGAAACGCGGCTGCAAGCCCAACCCCCGGTCGGCACAGGCAAGAAGACCAGGCGGCGATCAAGCTGAGACATGAAAGAGGGCGATGTGTGTCTGGGCGAAACGGAGCTTTCCTTGAGCGAACTTCCATTCTGCCTGTCTGCCATTCGTCGATGTATGGTTTTATGGTTTCGTGCCGGCTGGGCGCTAAGGGGACGCGGTGAAGTGAGTGTGAGGCAGTTGGGGAGTTGGGAGAAGCAAGAAGACAAGCTGACAAGGCAGAGCAAACTCTACTCCGAACCAGATGGGCGAGAACTACTGGGGCGCTTGGTTCGGATGTAACTCCTCCAAGACTTCACCAAGGAGACCGACTTTGCTCGGCACAGCTCGTAATGCTAAGAAGCGTGGTCCGAATTTCAGCATGGCAGATGGATGCTCGCACAGGTTGTTGCTGGCAGATCAAGCCAAAAGTAGTATCCTGCCAAGATGATGTTTCGGTTCGCAATCTGTTGGGTGAAATCTACGAACGCGAGTTGGAGTTCCAGTCAAGTACTTTGGACGTTTGACACTAACCCCATCTAACCGTCTTCAACTTGCTCCAGCAGCGAGCTCACATCCATCTGCAAAGCACATTCCTTGCCCCCCTGCCAAGCCATGCATTTACCGTGGCCCGTGCTTCGGCACCAGAGCAGAGCGGATATCAAAAACACTCCTGGCGAGGCTGCGGTGGCTGTAGAATATCAAACATCTCACCTCTTGTTGTGTTCCCATTCACAACCTTCTTCTCTCCCTGACATATGCCGAAGGCCTTGGGCGTTTTGGACACAAAAGCCACTTGAAATAATTCCCCAGATCTGCCTCTTCTCTCCGAAGCCCAGTAGCAGCAGCCCGCCTCGTACCGTCTGTGATCCAACCAAGGCGGCCTTTATCACTCCCACACCCGACTGCCAACCCCGCCTGCACTATATATAATAACGACATCTTGGACGTCTTAAGAAGAAAGGGGATCTTTGTCACGCAGAGTGTGAGATATCAACGGCCTGTCTGATGAAGGAACATTCTTCATTGAGCAGCCTCCTATCTGATGTTAAGGATTACAAGTTCAGTAGACTTCAGTCTGAGATTCCGTTGGTAACGTATCGTACTGTGGTCCCTACTCTTCGTCTCCAATTGAGGACTTTCCCAAGTCGGTATTCCCAGGGTCGCGATGTGATGTGCATAGCCAAGCCTTGTCTGAGTATCGGTACGCAGGCATTTTCCCTCTTCCATGTGACTCGTGGTCACGTGTTATTTGGAGGCTTTGAGGTATTTTAGGTATCTAGGCCCAAGTCGCTTTGCTTCGTTCCAATTTACTTTGGTCTTGATCTCTATATGTCTGCGTATCAACCAATATGCTAAGATGTTTTCACAGCCGTATATGCAGGGTTAACAAAAGACGTATTTACACTCTCTTCCACTCAAGATATTA